GGGGGGGGTGGGTGGGGAAAAGAAGCCGACCCGGTTTACCATTCTGTACTCAGGATCCAAGCTTCCAGACCTCATGACCATTGGATTTCCTTGGGGCCACCGGGATGTGGATTTAATTCGGGTTCCAGAGGCAAAGGAGGAGGAGGAGGAAGAGGAAGAAGAAGACGGGAGGCGAAACCCACACTGTTGAGCCTGTTGGACTTGGAAGCCACCTTTATTTTTTTAGGAAAGCCTTGTTGTGTTTTGATGATGATGATGGTGGTGATGGTGATGATGATGATTTAACCGAATCCTGGAGCAGTGGCCAACTCTCTTGTCTAGAGATCTACGGTTTGCCATGGGATTGAAGATTTCCTAGCCTGGCGGTGAGGAGCATTCCTCCAGTTGTTGTTATTATTATTATTATTTTCCTTCTCTTGTTCATTTGCACCTTAAAGGATAACATTTATGAGATGGAAAATCGGGGACTGTTCAGCGCCCTGGCTTACTTGATGCTTCATGCTCCCTTGCTGCTCATAGTCCAGGGTAAGTCGACAAACTTCTCACCTTTTTCTCTCTCTCTCTCTCTCTTTACTCTAGGTAGCAAAATAAGGCAGGTTGAAACGTGGATAGCAAGGGGGAGGACGAGATTGGGGGGGGGGTGAGTGCCAAGAGAGCCCACCCTTCTGTACAGTTGCCACGGTTGTTGTTGTTGTGTTTTTTTTCCTCTTAAGAAAAATCAGTGCAATGTTTATTAACACATCTGTTTTCTGAAAGGCAAAACACTTGCTCGGCATGTTGGTGAATAGAGAAATCAGAGGGAGGGGGAGGGAGAAGGAAGGAGGGAGAGGGAGGGGGGGAGGGTGAAAAAGAAACGACTCCCCTGTTATGGGGCAGCTAGGGGTCCTAAGCAGCCCCCCACCCCACCCCGCCACGGTGGCGAGTGCGAGATATTTGAGGCTGAAGCCAAAGGGTGCATGCAGAAAGCACAGCCAAAGCTGCAGGATTGGGGGGCCAGCTGCACACTCTTGCTGCAGAGAGGGAGGCAAATCAAAGCTCCGGCGGAGGAGACTGTGGGAAATGGTGTGGGGGGGGGGGGGGGGGGGG